TTGCCAATGGGCCTATGTAATAGTCCCGACATCTTCCAAGAGAAGATGGAACACTAATGCACGACCTAGAATACGTCCGTGCATACATTGATGATCTACTCATCCTAACTAACGGCGATCTGGCAGATCACGTTGAAAAGTTGGATGAAGTTCTCCGAAGGCTTCGAGAAGCGGACTTAAGATCAATGTTCCAAGTCCTTCTTCGCAAGAGGAGAACTTGAATACTTAGGTTACTGGATTACTCGAGAAGGGATCCAACCTATAACCAAGAAAATAGACGCGATCCAGAATATCCTCCTCCTACTAACAGAAAAGACTCCGAGATTCATTGACTAGTGATCCCTTGGGAAAGACTATGTATTGACCTGATAGGCCCTTACAACGTCGGGGATCCTAAGAAAAAGAATTCCTGCACACTTCATTGATTGACAATGATTGATCCCGTAACCGGATGGTTCGAGATTGCAGAGATCTGCTCCAAGGCAGCGGACGAAGTAGCCATCGTCTAGAACAAACGTGGCTTACTCGGTATCCATGGCCTGCTGAGTTATCATGGATAGAGGACGTGAGTTCCGCGCAGAGGTGAAAAGACTCTCCGGGATGAATATGGACTTCGTCGCAAGTTCATCACGCGTAACCCTCAAGCAACATCTATGGTCGAGCGTGTCATCAAACATACGAAACTTGATCGCTTGTTCAAAACATCAAGTGCCAAAGACGACTCGTGAATGGATCCTGGGATGGAGTCCTCACGGCGGTTCGCTTTGCAATGAATCCACGATTCATACCACTTGCGTGCAACGCCCGCACAGCTCATGTTCAATCGTGACGCGATTCACAACGTCGGTTCGAAGCCAACTGGAAGTACATTAAGGAACGTCGCCAACGACTAATCCAACAAAACAACGATAGGGAAAACGCACGCGTGTCCCTCATCAATACAATGTCAAGATACCGTGATGATTCAACAGTATCGCACCGCAAGTACGGTCAGCCAAAGTACAAAGGTCCTTACACTATAGACCGAGTCAATACAATGGCACTGTACGGCTCGACATGCTACCGCCAAAGCGGCACAGTCTACCAGACTTGGAAATAAGGTATATACACCCATACAAGGCCTGATCCCCTTGTAGGATTGCCATCGTGCGACGCACATGTCTACATCCAAACTCATGAGAGTGCCCGCACTTAAATCATATGTTCTCCTTGTCCGACTGCTGTCGCGCCTTCTGTGACCCTTGTCAGGGGGCGAAAATACACGGCTCTTAGCCTTATTCGCGACTCGATCCTAGATAGGGTTTGAGTTCGACTCATGATGAGTCTCTCGTGAATAGTCATTTGAGAACAGGGTTCTCAATGACCGCTCTAGTCATCTAGGTTGATGATGAAACATCGCTCTAGATATTTAGCCAGCGTGGAGTACTTCCCACGCTACTAGATCCATGCTAGACGAATCTTCCACGCGTTCCGTTTTAGGATCGTGGAAAACGTGGAGATACGTAGGACTACTACCGCAACCTACTCTATCACACTTTATAGTCTCCCGCGGGAGACCAGATCTACGATCCTTTGATGGTGATCTCTCTCGTTGATTAGTTTTCATAGCTTTTTAATCTCTCTCATAACTTTCATTCTCTCAAACACAAAACACTCGAAAGATCTTTACACTAGCTTTTAGCGTAGTGCATTGCATTGGATCCTTATGACGAATACATGCACAACCACACATTGTCAATCCAGCCATCGCAGCCAGCTATCGTAGAGTTCATCGATCGTTGACAGTGGCAACAGTACCGAACACACTCATGTTCGGCTTTGCTCGCTGCACTCGGTTACCTCGCATTGGATCCTTATGATGAATACACGCACAACCGAATATTGTCAATCCAGCCATTGTAGCCAGCTGCCGTATAGCTAGTGGCAACAGTACTTGACTTGCGCATACAGGAAAATGGGTACCGACACAGGAATCACCACCAAAACAGTAGGAAATAACAAGAAGGGATGAATCCGGTAGGGGGATCCACTATCTTGTGTGTTGTCGAGTAGCTAGCCTTGCTCCTGTTCCCTTTCAATGAGTCGACGATGATCCGTTCATGCTGTTGGTAGGGCTGGAGTTAACAGTTTCCTCGGTACACATACCTCCGTAGCGGTAGCCTCTTCTTCCTCGTGTTATTCGGAGCGATCAAATCGTTCGAAAAGGACTCGACAATGGTATTTCCTCGGCCGTCAGCAGTGCAGCAGAGAAAACAACAAACAGATATGAGTTTTGTTTTCTGTGCTCAACTGCAGACGACCGGAGACTTACCATTGTTTTTGAAATTGCACCAACTTGGCCGTCATGGGCCGAGAACTGACTGCCATCCCAAGGTCCATAGGATTGAATGAGGGATGGTTTTCGACTCTGCACCAGAGAAGGACGGTGCGATCGATCGATTCGATTCGAATAATTAAAACAACTCACCTGTTGACGGCCGAGCTTGGAATTCTCTCCTGAATACCATAGAAATCCAATGAGGGAGAGAAGTCAGTGCTGTACCTTCAATTAACACTCTTGATAATAGGCTTACCTCATTGCGATCGATCGATCGATCGATCGGCCGATTGGATAAAGAACTCCTCCTACCGGTATACGTATACCACTCTTGTCGGCCAAGCTTGGATTTCTTTCCTGTTTACCATATGAATTCAATGAGGGAGAGAAGTCAGTGCTTCAACAATGGATTTGGCTGGACCTGTACCGGTACCTGGTACCAGTACGTGCGCATGCGATGAGTTGGTTTAACCTTAACCTTAGAACCTTCAACGGTTCTTTTTATCCACGAATCGATCTAAATGTTAAAACACGTTAAATACAGGTTTGGTACTTACGGATACACATGACCGTTGATTCTGCAACTGAAGTGCGGGTACACTAATTTACACAGTAAACGCGAGCCAATCGATTTCAGAGTGCAACTGAGGGGGTAACCAAAAGGTGCATCGTCTCAGGAGACGTAATAGAAAATAGGAAATAGGAAATAGGATAAAGGAAATAGGAAATAGGAAATACCAAAAAAGGGGGTGAGGGCTAAGGTGCGTTCCTAACCAAACTCCATGTGTGTCCTCCGTGCATACGCGAAACACATTTATTTTCATCGATTTATTTAGGCGTACGTATCAAGATTTCATTCCTATCCATGTGACACACATACGCGGTACGCGAAAGAAACACCACCGCAAATCCCAACTCTAACGAAAACGCGGAACCAACGAACACGTAGAGACAACAGCACCGTACGGTCTTACGAGCTAGCTACCAACAGACCTATCTCGACAACCAAGAAGGCTAACAGATATACAGGTAGTAGCTTGTAGGGTACCCTCATCAGGTTGCTTGTTAGCCTTCTTGGTTGTCGAGATGGGTCTGTTGGTAGCTAGCTAGCTAGTAGCTTCGATCGAACGATGCTGTTTATCCCGGCTGATTCGATTCGATGATTCGATTCGATGATTCGATTCGAATTACTGAATCGAATCGAATCATTCGGTGATTGACTGACGAGTTCGGCAGCTCGGCATGCTCGAGCGTTTTGATTGGTCCTACGCGAACTCTTTTTGCCCAATACCAGGTAATTTTGGTACGGCAGAATGCAAAATTACTGATACGCCGTACCAAAATTTTTGGGCAAAAAGAGGGAAAGCCAGCCGACTTTAACAGTTATCTTGATTTCGCGTATGCACGGAGGAATAAAGAGGTCAAAATGACTGGTTAGGAACGATCCTCAGGCAGATAGACTGCCGAGGTAAATAGCTAGAGTACTTGCTACCGTACTACTGGTAGCTACTACTAGCTAGTAGTACGGTAGTCTGATGTCTGATGTCTGATGGATGCTTCTCAGCTTCTCAGGCCTTTTGGTCCATCCGGCACCTGATGAAATGGATGATGATGGATCGAATGCTGTTTAGTTATATTGCTTTCGTGGACAAATTGCTTCGCCCCCACCAACTGGCTCGCAATCGAACGCGATGTGTGGACTGGTCCTGGCTACTGTACCAATGAGGTTGTGGAAAATCCTGTCTGGCGAAGTCTGCCAAGATCCAGCATCCAGTTTTAGCAAGGACTTCCAAGGAAAGATAAAACGAGCGACGTTGCGTGACGATCAAGAGTTCATAGTTATTTTTACACGCATGGTCAATGCAGTATCCCGCCAGCAAAGAGGTGCTGAAGTGCTGAAGCGCTGGCCTTGGAATGAGGCAACATATTAGATGTGGCAACTTGTGTACCGGTTCACTTCTCCAGAGTAGTCAATTCTCGAGTGAGTAGCTAGCTAGGAATAATATTACTGTGCCGCTAGCTAGCTAGAGTACTGATGAGAGGTTGTACCCACCAAACAGCTCGCCACTCCGAATAGCTGGTTCATTGCTCCCTTCCGTTTGCTTCGACCATAATTCGCTCTCCGAACGAAGGTTCTGAAAAGCCAAGTGGTTCCTTTCCCATCACATACATGTTTTTACTCTAGAGCTAGCTAGAGCTACTCTAGCTAAAAAATCTGGATTTGGAGTACATGGATTTTAGCAACCGATGACGTTGTCCCGTTTTCCTCTGACGCGATTTTTTGTTTAGGAGCTGTTTAGTAGTCTTTAAAATGCCAAACATGAACATTCTACAGAAGCTCTACAACTTACAAGACCACTGAGTGCCTCTTTACTATGATAATAATAGTAGTAAAGTGCTTACTCTATCAGGAGTAGTTTGGAAATAAATAAGAGAATCAAAGATTTTGTTAAATCTGACTTTCTGCATCCAATTGCGGCCTCTAACTCTTATCTTCTCCTTATCACCTGCTTCTTGGATGTACTGATATGACAATAGCCATGAAGTCATCGAGGAGTTCTCTTGCAACCTTCCTGGTATGAACATTACTATCATACATACTTTTATTAAACTTATAGTAAGCGCAACAAACCCGTACGGTACTTGGCAAAACAAGCTTTGCTTCTTTGCTTCTTCTTCGCTCTCGACTGGGTGGTACCAGTATTCATCTTTCGCCGAAGCAAAACCTCCCAAAGATCAAGGAGAGGAAGCGCACAGAACACAAACCTTGGCTGCGGTGGAAGTGGCTCGATCCGACCAAGAAAGTCTGAACCCAGCTCTATTAATCCTCAAGAAGTAACAATGAGCAACAACATGAACGTTTCTTCGATCCTCGAGGTGAACTCCCAGTCCATTGAGCACCTTCGTGCGGGTAGGTTCAGTGAGGCCAATGAGGGCCTTGGGCAAGTCTTGGAAGGGATGAAACGGTACATCCAATCATCGGGTCCGTCAGAGTCAACGGATCTGGGTGGGAATGCCATGATCAGTGAGCAGCAGCAGCCAGGCAAGGCTGCTGTAGCTGCTACGGCTCCTTTTGTCCTCCGCACAGAGGACGTTCCCGTGAGGACGGGGGATACCGCCAAAGACGAGGTCCTCTCGCTTTTCGCCCGAGCATTCTCCGTCCCTGTTCTTCCCATGACCAAGGGAGAGAAAGCTGCTTCGTTGATGGCCTTTGTATACAATCTTGCCTTTGCCCGCCACTCGGAGGCCCTTGCTACCCAAGATAACGTGCTGTCTCGAGCACTACTGGGACAGGCAGGAAAGTTGTATCAGACAGCCTTGAGAGTGGCCAGCAGTCACCTGGAAGACGAGCAATCCCTAGACGGCTTTCCATGCCTTCTATTGGCCACTGCCAACAATTATGCCCATGTCTTTGTGGAGCAGTTTGATGCCCAAGAAGCCGGAAAGGGTGTTTCCATGTTGCACAGCCTGATGAAGGAACCTTCCGTGCTGAGGGAAATGCCTGAAGAAGACTACTCCTTCTTTGAAAGCAACGTGATTAACTTCCTGGAGTCTCCCTTGTTTTCAATTGCTCCCGCAGCCTAGCGTTGTAAGGGTTAGACCGTAGCCTTTTACGCTTGTGTTGGTTGCTCACAAGAACAAGAACCTCATAGCAAGCCAGGCTGGAACAGACAGATTAACAATCACTCTACTCAATTTTACTAAGAAATGCATTCCAATTATCTACCTGCTGAAGCCGTTTGCCCCGTTGTCTCGCTCGGACAGGTACCGGTACTAGTGCCCTCTGCTGCTCACAAAGGCTCTCGTGCCATGATGACATAGACTAGAGACTAGCTAGCTTCAGCGAGCGATGAGGATGTCCAAAGAAGACAACCGTTAGTAACATGGACGGAACTCTAATTCTCCATCCAACAATCAAAGGATTAAAAAAGGCCCACGTCTCATGCCAGACAACAGCGGTACGATCCACGACCGAGAGTCAAGATCCATCACAGCGACTGAGGACTCAGCGACTTGGTGCTTGGTGCCCGCCACAACCCACAAAAGAATACCAAACAAAAGAAGATACCATACTCAAGCCAAAGCAACATGTCAGACTCTGTCGTTCGGATCACCCACCAGTCGTATGGCAGCCGCATTGCTGGCTCTTGCAAAGCGCTCTGCTTTGTTCCCATCTTTCTGATTGCTGGGATTTTGGTTCTTTCATGGAACGAGGGGAACCTGGTCACTCAGCGCAAGGCGCTCGACGAGGGTCTCAAGTCTGTCGTTGACATTCCCAGCACGGAATCCGTCAACGCAGAAAATGAAGGAAGTCTGATTCATTTTGTCGGTACGGCCAAACCCGACTCTCAAGTCACCGACCCCATTTTTGGCGTGGCGCCTCCCAATGCATTGCTCCTCAAACGAACCGTCGAAATGTATCAGTGGACCGAATCGTCGCATTCCGAAACGCGCAAGAACACCGGAGGTTCTACCGACACCGTCACAACCTATTCTTACTCGAAAGAATGGAGAGATCGCGCTGTCGACTCTGGATCCTTTGAAGAATCTTCCGGCCATCAGAATCCTTCTGGCGGAATGTTGTTTCCTTCGGATACCGTGGCCGCCAACCCGATTCATGTGGGAGCATTTGAATTATCCAGCGCCGTGGTTCAAAAGATGCACTGGTACCAACCACTCCAGTCGGGCATCTCAGTCGACACCATTCAAGATAATTCCACCCGAAACCAAGCCACGGTGTTTGGGAGCCGCTTCTACTTTGGAGACGGCAGCAGCGGGTCCCCCCAGATTGGAGACACACGAGTGTCCTTTGAGCAAGTTCCATCACAAACCATTAGCGTCGTGGCAAAGCAGATCGGAGAGAGCCTTTCTTCCTACACGGCCAAGTCGGGTGGTTCTGTCTTGCTGGTGGAAGCCGGTCCTCATGACGCGGCCGAAATGTTCAAGCACGCCAATGAAGCCTTGACGATTCAGACATGGCTCATTCGGTTGGGTGGATTCCTCCTCATCTATTTTGCCTTTGAAATTGCTATGAAACCTCTGTCCGTCTTTGCCGACGTTTTGCCGTTTCTGGGGGATTTGGTCGAAGCGGGCACCAGCGT